TTATATTATTGGATCTATAATGTACAAAAAAATTTTTATGCACAACTAGTCAGTTATGGTGAATGATAATGTCAAATCATGTTTTATAATTAAGGCTATAATTTTTTAACGACAACCATGAGCAAGCCCTAAGAAGCTCAGTGGTACAAAGGACATGCATGCATTATTTACATTGATAGCATGGAGTATTTTTTATAAACTACAAATTTTTAAAAACGCCATAATTCGCATTCTTTATGAATTGTCAATATGTGTGGTACAGTAGCATCTGTGTATTTTTTGTTGAAGTTGCACCTATATATAAAATAGAGATTTGTTAGCGATTCCGCAGAGCAACGAAAAAAGTTTGACGTTTGAAAAAAAAACACGTGATTTTAATGAATTTTACTCTCTTATATCTTTTTTTATTATAAAGGTAGAACATTTTTTATAATAAAGCTAGAGCCTTTTTGCTTAAATTTCTTTTCAACCATATGTAGTTTGTTTTGATTTTTGCGCTTGATTTTTTATGGTTTTTTTGTTATATTTTGGCTAAGTTTTCTATACTTAAGTTCAAGGCGTTTTTTCAAAAAGTCATCAGTTTTTCCAGCACAAAAAATGAAAAAACTTTAGATCAAATTAACTTTAAAAGTTGAAAGATCCCACATTTTTTAAGTCTTTTTAAGCTCTATACAACTATATCATTCATATGTAAATGTATTGACAAAAAAAAAATTGTCAACCATATTATCCCTTTTATAGTGGAATCAAGAGTTATTAGATTGTTTCTAAACGTTTCCTGTTCCTACCTATGTAAAATACAATCCAGTCAGCTAAAAATCATTCAGCAATTTAATGCGACCTATGTGACAAATGGATACACAAAATGCAATCGAATTGATATACTAACATATGAAAAAGTCGAAACTTTAAATAATTGGTATTGCCTAATCTGTACAAAAACATTTTTTCTATTCTCTAACTTTTCGGATCTTGAGTTATCTACCATACTTGCAGGAAAGTAACTGAAATTCAACGGGGTAAAAAATCTATCTGATGATACAAATTTAAAAAAACTTTTTGGAGACCTCAATGACTTATCTTCCACTTCAATTAACTCTGAATATCTAGATGTTCCAATGTACAACAAATTGTCCCAAAATTCTTTAAGTTATCTTCATATAAACATATCTTCATTACCTAACTATATTGACAACTTTAAAATACTATTCGCATCTTTTGATAGTTTGCATGATATCATTGGGATTACTGAATCTAATTTGTACGATAACGATCTCTCTATATCTAATGTTGAAATAGAAGGATATGTATCTGTTCACACGCCAACTATTGCTAAAAAAGGTGGTGTTTTATTGGATGTTAAGTCGAACTTAAATTTTAAAATTAGATTTTAATTAATCCTGCTCAAAAGTAAAGAATACGAATCTTTATTTATTGAAGTTATAAATTTAAGAAAAAGCAGTCTAATAGTGGATTGTTTATATCGTCATCCATCAATGTGTCCAACTGAATTCGTTGATTACGACCTAAATCCACTTCTTGAGAAAATTAGCATAGACAAAAAAACGTTTATGCCAATGGGAGATTTTAACTTTGACTTGCTCAAATACAATACCTCCAATGAGATATCTTAATTTTTAGAATCAATAGTATCAAATTCTCTTTTTCCTTTTATTTTACAACCTACACGCATAACTACTCGTTATAAGACAATATTTGATAATATTTTTTTAAACTTTTATTCTTCTGAAATTTTCTGAATTTCAGGGAACCTTAAATTAAACTTCATAAAAAAAAATTAAAATTGAAAAACTGTAGAATAAAAAATATATATTTAAAAAGATTTAAACACTATCGTAATAGTATAAGCAATCTTCTAAAGTTTAGCAAAAAGAAATATTACACAAACCTTTTTAGCCACAACATTAATAGCATAAAAAACACCTGGAAAGGTATAAAAGAGTTGATAAATGTTAAACGAAATAATAGTAATTCCCTAACAAGCATACTCATTAACAACAAATACGAAACCAATCCTAAAATGTCAAACCATTTTAATAACTTCTTTAAATTCTAAATTCTAAATTCAACTATCATGAGTACCTGACCAATCCTACTAGCAACTCTTTTTATATGCGAGCAATAACGAAAGAGGAAACTCTCGATTATATAAATTCCCTTATTATAGAAGGGAGTAGTGTTGGACCAAACAGTCTTCCAACAAAACTCCTCTCAAAGCTTAGCTATTATGGTGTACGTGGCATACCCTTGTAACATACAAATACATATAAAGACATAAATCAGTATTAAAACAGAAAATAACTAAGAAATTAAAGAAATTCAAAATAGCAAATAATTAAGAAGTGTTAAAATGTTTACAACCGCTAAAATGATTAGGAACACTTAAGCAAAAATTTTCAAATAAAAAAATAATGTAAAATTTCATAATTAATTTAATCACTAGATGAATTTTGAACATCATCACTTAAATTTCATTGGTATAAATAAATCTGTTTTGAGCTTACTTTAAAAGAAACATTTAAAGTCGGAAAAATTAAATTCCCTAAACAGTAATAATTTTTTGATTCATTCTTGAAATGCTCTAAGGTAGCCTTGTTTCTGTTGACAATATCTGGGGATTTTTTCCACAGATAAGGTCCACGGTATTTAATTGAATAGGAGGTTAACTTTAGATTATATTTGAGTAGAACAAAGTTGTTATCTAAAAACTTCGTTGAATACTTATGATTAATTTTATTAAAATAGATTTGAAAGATTTTTGGGGACAATCTCATTTTTGTTTTTAACATAAACAATAAAACTTGGTGAAAATTGAGTTTATACACATTTAAAGCACCGAGCGCACGTAAAAGTGGTTCGCAAGAAGTATTTCTACACTATTTTGCACGCATATTTTTGTTTATTGTAAATTTTCTTAAGTTTTGTATAGCTAGTACTAGCCCACATAATATTACAGTAAGAAAAATAACTGTAAATAAAAGCAAAATATAATTTTTTCTCGGAGCCTTAAACATCATTGCGATATTTTTTGAGAGTGTCGTTTCAATACTGTTTACATGTGTTCGCCACAGTAAATTTTCATCGAGTTTTACTCCTAAAAAGTTTACGCACCTTTTCCTTTTAATATAACTTTTTAGTATTGTTAATTATAAGAGTTAGCAGTTAGTTATAAAAGTTAGCAAAAAAAAGAAGTTAAAAGTTTTCTGATTTATTTAGTATGGAAAAGTATATATTTTGTTTTATCCACATTTAGTGAAAGTTTGTTACTTACAAATCATTCATTAACTTTACATAACTATTCGTTCACTATTTTAAAAAGTGTTTGTAATAATAAAATATATTTGTTTTTTCTTACTGTCTTTCTGATTATCTTCACTCAATATATATACATTTGCAAATACCCCCGAGAGTATAATAAACAGTATAAACGTTATGTACAATATAATATATACTACGCGCCCACAACATTCCTTCTGAATAACACGTTAATAGTTTATATATAATACAATTATTTACACTAATTACAGTGTTTTAATATCTCTGTGAGAACAAAAAAAGATTGGAATCATCAGCAAACAAAATTAGGTCTAAAAGATTTGTTGCTAAGTATAAATCGCTTATGTACAATAAAAATAAGAGTGGTTCTAAAATAGAGCCCTGTGGAACCCTGCAAGTTATGGAATATGGAATTATGTTATTTTGATCATGGCATGATCGCAATCTTTCCTTCAAACATTCAAAAACGTATCATTTTGCTGATACTAATCTTCAATTAATAATAAACTCTCTCAAAAAACTTAATAAATATATTAATCAGGATTTGGCCAGTCTTGTTCTATAGCTTAAAGCAAACAAAATCTCATTGAATACTAAAAAATCAGAACTAATTATATTTAAGACGCAAAATACTTACTTTTCTAAAAAAACTAAGAAAAATATTCCAAAATACTTGAACTTTTGATTAAGTGGTCAAAAAATGCACTTGTCTAGTAACATAACTTATCTTGGTGTTGTGTTAGATGAAAAACTTTCCTTCAAAACACACATATCCGACCTTACTCTGAAGTTAAGCCGTTCCAACGGCATGTTAGCAAAGATTCGACATTACGTTAACTTTGAAAGATTGCTCTCTATATATCACTCAATTTTAAATTCATATTTACGATACGTATGTCAAGTTTGGGGGAAATCTAAAACCGTATGTCTCTCAAGAGTTATTTAACTTCAAAATAGAGCGGTACGGATTATTCATTTTTGTCCGAGAAATTTTCCAACTGACATCCTATATCTTACATCCAAAATTCTTCTTTTCAATGACTTAATTCAGTTCTTAAATTGTTCATTTGTCTGGTATCAACAACAGGATTTCCTTCCTACTATATTTCACAACTACTTTAATAATAGAACAACATGTAGGCATAACCTAAGATCAGTCGCTTATAACAACTTAACTCTCCTACTAAAACAGACAAATCAAGATTGAATTAACATACCAGTGTATCCTCTCTTAGAACTCCTTTCCGAAAACCCTAAAATCAGGCTTTATGTATATGTGGAAAAATGATAAAAAATATATATATTTTTTATTATTTTTCATGATGATCGTAAAACAGACAAAAATAAGATAAAAAAAATATATATATTTTTTATCTTTTTTTTTTGGAAAAAAAAAATTATATATATATACATATATAAATATATATATATATATATAAATATATATATATATATATATATATATATATATATATATATATATATATATATATATATATATATATATATATATATATATATATATATATATATATATATATATATATATATGTATATATATATATATACTATCTGGTTTTATTAATTTATTTTATTGCATTTTAAAATTTGGTTTAACTGGTTGTCTAAATTTACAGAGCAGTGTTTTCCGACAAAAAAAACGAACTTTAAAAAAACGAATCTTTTCATTCGATTATAAAACAATGGCTACTCAAATAAACAAATTCTCCACAACTTCGAAACGAAAAAGCAGCCTTTTTGATCTACAACAATTAGTGAAAGACAAAGGTGAAAGTTCAATTAGTTTATCAGAAGAACCAAATCTGCAAAAGAAAGGTATAGTTAAAACAGCTTAAATTTAATTGAATTGTTGTTTAGCCGTTTAACTGTTTAAAAACTTTTAATTGTTTTAGGTATAAAAATTCAGTTTGAAAACACTTACGTATTGCACCCTGATAAAAGTTTAAATGTCTTGCGAATTCGTTCTATCCTCAAAAGTTCTCTTGAAGACACATTTAAATCACAAATTTACAATCATCATGAAATGATTAATCTTTCAAAAAAAGCTAGCCAGCTTATAAGAGATGAAGTGAAGAAACTCGAGTATCACCGTTACAAAGTAGTATGTGTTGTAAACGTAATTCAAAATAATGGACAAACATTTAAAGCAGCAAGTCGATTTTTATGGGATGATAAAAAAGATAATTGGATTGACGCCTACTATCAAACTCCATCTTTTGTTGCTCAAGCTGTTGTTTATGCTCTTTATTGTGAATGATATTTAATGAATACAACAAAACGTTATTCAATCCTTAAGTAGGGATGTGAAACTCTACATGGGGATCGGATGATTTTATATAAATTTCTACAATATATACTACGATAGTTACATAACATATAAATTGGAAACGTAATTGCATTTCCAGTTTTGTATATTATGTAATTAAAAAGTCGCAAGACCGTATAGAAACCTCTAGAGACCATTCCTTGAACAAGAATAATTTTGAATCGCAAAAGTTAGTTCTAATTAATAGAACAAGATTAGTTGTATTTTCTTGACTGGGTTTAGTTTTATTTTTAAACCAAGATTAGTTCTGCTTCCAAGACTAAGTTTAGTTTTAGTTACTGATTATTACTGATAGTTCTAGTTCTTATATTGAAATAAAAATTTTTAAGTTCTAGTGCCTATATAGTTTCTTTTCATAATATCCAGAGGCGATTTTTTGAAGGATGTGGGAGAAGGAGGAGGGGATGTTCCATCCCCCTGAAAAAGGTGATTTTCAAGTTATAGTCGGTTTTTGACGATTTTAATCTGGTATTTGATACATTTCAGTCGGGTGAATTTTTTTTGCAGTTGGTACTTTTTAAAGGTTTCAACCCAAACCCCTTCCCTTCCCCCCCCTCCTTTCGTTTTATTCATAGAATTGCCTCTGTATATATTTTTATTATATATAATTTTTATTATTGTTAGTTAGGTCATGGAGATATAGACTTTTTTTTAAGATATTTAACCCTCAGTTTTTAAAATATTAAACCTTCAGTTTTTTTAACTTGGCTTATTATGTTCAACTTTTTGCTTTTCAAGTAGATTATCTAATTTATATAAAAGATCAAAAATATGAAAAAAAAGATTCAATAATAATGAACACTTTTAAAAAATCTAATATTTATTTACATCTTTTATATGTCTCTCGGTTAAGCTTAAAAAAGCTTTATACAAATTTATCAATGTTTGTTGAAATAAAGAAATGTTAAAACTTTATATAAAAAAATTAAAATAAGTGTAAAGAACATTGATTGGGAGTGGTGTCATGTAGAAAATAAAAGTGTTAGAACGGGCGAATTTGAACTGTTGTGACAGATTAAGTAGTAACAGATCCAAGATTTTTTGATATTTGAGTTAAGTAACTTACTGTTGAGTTTAAAACTTTAAACTTTTGAAAGTTCATACTTAATTCATATTATCAAAAACTATTAGAATCCGGATACAAAAATACCCAACGATGTGCCCAACTATGGAAATCAGTTTGTTTAATATAAACTTCAATATCAAAGGGTTAGTATTATTTTATTCAAGGATTTAAAATTTCATTCAAAAAAAGAATTATTTTAAAAAGCTATGTTCATATAAAATTTTAACATCTCTTCTTTTAAGGAAGTTGAAAAATTTATATACTTATATTATAAGTATATACATTTTTATTCATATAAAGATATATATATACTTATATAAAGCTATTTTTCTTTATAAGACTTTTTCCTTTATTAGTTTACTGTTAATTAAAATTTGAAGTAGTTTAAAGTGCATATTTAATAGATTCTCCAAGATTAATTTTTCAGAAAAAAATCGTACAGAAAAAAACACATACTAAAACTTTTTGTTCACTAGGGTAATAAGATTGCATATATATTTGAATATTAGTTTTACAACTCCATTAAATAACCTATCAAATCATTTTGTTTTTCAATAAAATTATGGGAGGAAAAGAACTAAAGATAAATTAAAAAAAACAAACACCAAAAGCTTTGCTATTTCATACTCATTTTTATTTTAAAAGTTTGCAAACACACTAGCTTAAACTATTTATGTGAAATTGTTTTGCTTATTAGATCAGGGCCGACGACACGAGTTTCCAAAGTGGGGGGCACAAAAAAAAATTCTTTAAAAAAAAGGTGGAGGGGGGGAGGGTGCGTGCCCCCCCTCAATCAATGTACAGTATTTCCCACCTGCTTGGAACTGAACACTTAGGTACTAACAGTGAAAAAAAAAACGTTTTAAAAAAATCTATGCTGTTTTAAACTTATTTTTAATAATTTTTTTAAAGTTATTAGTTGAAATTAATTTTGTAACATGAATTAAGATACTAAATAAATTAATTCGTAGTGTCTTTTTGTTGTTGGTAACCACATTATGAGTATAAACTTTTTTAAATATAACCAAATTGAAAACTTTATGTCGACGTCAGAAACATGCTGTAAGACTAATCTACCATAAAGACAAATTTACACACGCTGAACCCTTATTTAAAGAAATGAATGTGCTTAACATTTATCAAGTTAACATTTACCAATATATATTGTTTATGCTAAAATTTAAATTAGGTCAAGTACCAAATAATTTTTTAAATAACTTTTTTATAAATAACGTTAATTAATGTAACACAAGAGAAACAAAAAACTTTATTACACCTTTCAAAAAAAAAAAACTTTCCCAGTTCTCAATTTCATATCGGGGTCCTTATTTATACAACAAACTAGTAACTAAAAATAAATAAATTTGCAATCTAGATAATCAAAATTCCTTGAAAACAAAGTTAAAATATCTGATTCTGAATCTAAGCAGATACTCTGAATTCTTCTAAGACTATAAATTAAATTACATATATATCAACTACAAAGTGAACTGACTCGTTTATGTGTATTATCTAAATGACTCTTACCTTTCTCAAACAATATATCAAAAATTGTTTATTACACACACACAAAAAAAGAAACACTTGATTTTTTCTTATCAATTTTAGTTATTATGCTGCTTGTTATGTTTAATTTTTTATACTAAGCTTATTTTGAGTTTATCTTTTGTTATGAGCTTAATTTAAAGATTATAAAAATATAGTTGTACTTAATATGTAATTATTTTTAAGATAATCATAATATATATCAAACACATTGTAAGGGCTTCGTGATAAGATCATTACGATCTTCTTGAAGTCCGGCCTGTACTAATTAATTATAATTTTCACTATATATTTTGACTCACGTGACTTGTAAATATTACGCCTTTAATTAAAACACAACACATAATATACACAGTGAGGTAACAACAGAGAGAGTTACGCAAAAAAAAAAAAATTAATTTTTGTTCAAAATACATAAGACAGCTCCAAGCCACACTGGAAGTTTTTATTTTAAACGACTATCCAATATGAAAACTATTTCTGATGAAATATTTTATTTAGCCATTTTATTGAAACGTGGCTTTTTATTTTTAAAATCATCAATGACTTTTACTTTGTCCAAAAGTGTAGCTTCCTTATTTTCTATCGCTAGTAAAGCCAATCAAGAAATTCGATCTTGGGAAATTATTTACCGTGGTAGGTATTATGATGTTCTTAAATTTTAAAAATGGGCGTTATTAAAAGTGAACCCATGAAATTTCTGATTCTGGTATCGAAGCAGTTAGTTTCACTTTGTTGATGTTACAAAATATCTTTAACGGTCTCTATTTTGAAACAGTCGTCGTAAAAATCTTGTTGGTATCATGGATTTTTTATTACGATTGGATTGTTAATTCACATCATTAGGAATGGATTGTTATTCACATCATTAGGGTATGATTTTACAAAATTGGTTGCAGCAAGTTCCATTTCAGTTTGCGGTATTAAAACTGTTTAAAAATAAACAAAGCATTAACTTAAAAAGTTGCTTTTAGAAATGTAGAACTATTAAAAATTTAACCAAAGGGGTTGTCCATTAATTACGTCAACAAAACAGGGAGAGGGGGTCAGAACTTTTTTAACAATTGTTGACAAGGGGAAGGGGGAAGGTCAATTAAAGTTGATATCAACAATTTTTTCTTTTTTGAGTTTCATTGCTTAAGTAACGGAAAATTAGGTTAAGTTTGTAGCGTAGCTTCTTTGTATAGGAGAGGGGGGGGGGGGATAATCAAAAACTGACGTAATTATAGGGGGGTGTCTGGAAATTTGACAAATTGTTGACAATGGGGAGGGGGAAGGTAAAAATTTCAAAAAAACTGTTGACGTAATTAATGGACAGCCCCAAATACATACCATAATACATAAGGCCTACAAAGGTTAGATGTTTTTGTTTTTTTGATGACAACTTATTCTCGAACCTCTTTATTCTAGAGGCCAGCAATATGCTGAATCAACCAATTTCCATATTGTTTTGTTCCGGCCTAAGTGTCTGTCAATAGGTTTTGATTCAGTTGTTGCGACTAGTCCGGCATGTGCTGTTTTTTTTACTGATCACGAGACACCGTATCTTTTTTGAAATATTAAAAAATAAAATGTTTAAAATATAACAAAAATGTGTCAATAGCATATATACCGTTAAAAGACTTAAAAAAAATTGTGTATACATATATATATATATATATATATATATATATATATATATATATATATATATATATATATATATATATATATATATATATATATATATATATATATATAATATATATACATATATTCTGATTGCTTTACAGCAATATTATATATTCTATTCTGATTGCTTTACAGCAATCAAATATAGTATCAATTATAAAATAAAGTTTATCTTAATTTGATCTAACAATATACACAAAATAAAAATTTGATAAAAATTAAACTTTTAAAGTTTGATTTTGAAACTTTATTTTAACTTATATTATTATTATAGTTGTAGCCGTAAATTTACATAGAATGTACACATACAGCGAGCAGGGGAAACACCCCACTATAAACAACCAGTTTTATAAATATTTGTTCCAAACTTTTTCCACAACCAGGAGTCTAGTCTATTTTTGAAAGAAAGTACAGAGGAGTACAAAGTTATTTGCTCTGGTAGATTGTTCCAGTATTTTGCTGATCTATTATACAAATGATTATATCTTGGAAGACAGTTTAGAACATACTCACGCCTTATTTTAGAATGGTGACCACGAGACACGGAGTTAATATATTTTGGTAGATATTTATCATTAACTATATCAAAACGATGTATTAATTTAAAAATTTGGATTAAATCGCATCGAAGGCGTCGAAACTCAAGAGATGGTAGGTTTAATCTTTTTAGCCTTTCGCAGTATTGAAGATGCCTCAAGCTGTAAGCCCATTTTGTAGCTTTGCGTTGAACAGATTCAACCAAAGCTATATCAGCTTTTAAAAAAGGAGCCCAAATGGACACTCCATATTCAAGATGTGGTCTTATAAATACTTTATATAATTTGAGAGCCATTTTTTCATCAATGAAAGTGAATGTCTTTTTCAGCATACCGAGAATTTGTAAGGACTTAGAGACAACTGTTTGAATATGAGCGCTCCACTTGAGGTTAGATGTAAAAATGACTCCTAAATCACGTTCTTTAGTAGAGCTTCTTAGAGATTGGTTGATTCCTTGGTTATTTTGAAGAAAGTAATTGTAATGGGGGTTGTTTCGACCGTAATGAATGACGCAGCATTTTGAAGTGTTTAGCTTAAGTAACCAAGTGTTTGACCACTCGTATACCAAGCGTAGACGATCCTGCAGATCAACAAAATTAGATTGCGATAAGGTTTTAGAAAAAAGTTTAGTATCATCGGCAAATATCTCAGAAGTTTCAGTGAGTTTTGCAAGATCATTTGTGTAGAGAATGAAGAGGAGCGGGCCGAGAACAGAACCTTGAGGAACACCACTGAGAACATCAACCCATGCAGAGCTGGTATTGTTAATTGTAACGCGTTGCTTTCTGCCCACTAAAAAAGATTTAATCCATTGTAGGAGTTTGCCGTTTATTCCGAAAGATCTTAATTTTAACAAAAGTCTGTTGTGAGGTACAGAGTCAAACGCTTTGGCAAAGTCAAGATAGATTACATCAATAAATTGGTGAGATGCTATGGAGGACGAAATGATATCAAAAGTTTCTATTAGGTTAGTTACGCATGATTTATGATGAAGGAAGCCATGTTGATTTGCAGAGAGCATTTTATTATCGTTAATGTGCTTTAAAATTTTTTTCTTTACAAGTTTTTCAAAGATTTTACAGGCAACAGATGTTAGTGAAATAGGTCTATAGTTTTCAGCAAGTAATTTATCTCCCTTTTTTTTATAGATCGGACTAATATTTGCTAATTTCCATTGAGTGGGTACTACTCCAGAATTAAAGGATTTATGAAAGATTTTTGTTAATGGAATTGCGAAGCTTTTGGCACATATCTTGAGTATTAAGGGATGCAAGCCGTCAGATCCGAAGGATTTATAAGGCTTTAGATCGGCAAGTTCCTGAATAATATCTGAGATAGAGAAATCCAAGTTTTCATTATAAATGCATTCAGAAAGAATACCACTTTTATTTAGCAAAGGAAAATTTTCAGAGCTTTCAAGTGTAAACATAGATTTAAATTGAGAGTTCAGAAGATCAACTATATCAGGAAGAGCTTCAATAATTCTGCCTGAAGTATCTTTGAGAGAGCGAATTCTATCTTTAATTTTTAGTTGTTTGTTGATATATTTGTAAACGATTTTTGGGTTGTTTTGGGATTTTGATATTATTTCTTTTTCATGTGCTTTTTTTGCTTTAAATATTTCAGTTTTTACTGAACGATTTAGGCGATTGTATTTTATTTTAAGCTCACTATTCTCCCATTTGGTAGAGCAGTTTATATGCCAAGCGGATTTTTTTTCTCGGATCAGGTTTTTAATATGTGGGGTAACCCAAGGATCATACTTTTTTTTTGTTTTATTAATCTTGGGAATAAAATATGTGCAAGCAGTGCGATAGTTAGAAATTAGTATATTGAACATTTGATCTGCAGTTTTATGCAGGAATAAAAACTCCCAGTCGATTGATGCAATAAAGTTAGATATTGAATCGTAATCACCTTTTTTGTAATTAAACGATTGAGATTCACTTTCGGTAAACAGTTCTGAAACTAAGAATCTCCAAGTGATACTAAAATGACCCTTAGTGGTGTTACCTAGTATAGTACTAGGAGACAAGTTTAAAATAGAATTACTGTTGTAGGTAAATAACAAGTCCAACATATTATTTGAGGAACCATAATCAGTCTGGAAAGTAGGAAATGTGATATGTTGAGTAAAAAGGCTGTTTTGGAAAATATTCCAGAAATCATACTCGGTAGGATTGTTTGGGTTAAAAGATTCAATACCATCGTTAGACCACTTTATATTCGGGAAGTTAAAGTCACCGACAATCAAACAGTCATCATAGGGCTTTTTAATTAAACTATGAGCTAATTTGAAGGATTCAGCGACATATTTTATTAAACTGGCATCATTTGGTCTGTATATACAACCAATAAGTATATGTTTGTTGTTAAATTTTACAGATACCCAGACTTGTTCGAGAAGATTTGTATAAAATTGGTTAACTTCATGAGAGTTAAATACGTCTGTAATGTAGATAGCTACACCGCCACCTCGACGTCCGTCTTGACGATCTTTACGATATAGGCTATACCCATCGATATTAGGTACTGAGTCATTTCGAAACCATGTTTCAGAGATAGCAATAACGTGATAATCAAACGTTCTAGATATTGAAATTAAATCGGCCATTTTATTATCGAGAGATGTAGCATTAGTATAATAACAATTAACGCTATAGTTTGTTTTTTTGTTATGAAGATTTTTACTTTTGTATTTTAAGTTTGCTGGTAAAAGAGTGGAAGAAGGGTAGTAATACACTACATAGTAACTAAGATATTCTGAACCGTTTCCTTATCGTCGATATGCTTATCAGCAACTGATAACTTTGCAGATTCTTTAATGCCATAAATAATAACATTTTTTTCACGCTTCTTTTTTTGCTGTTGCTCAATGGCAAATGTGTTGATAATTTTTAGTTGTTCAATAGGCTGCTTTTTTTTTATGTTTTTGCTTGCAACTGTAACCCAGCTGGATTCGATACTACTGGTTGTGGTATTAGTTAGCTCATTTGGATTTTGGATTAGCTTATCTATTATTAATTGTTGTTGCTTTATTACTTGTTCTAGTTCAGATATTTTGGCCGACCATTTCGCAGTTTCAGCATGAATAAGTTTTTTAATTGCGTCCTCGACTTGCTTTAATTGAGCTGGTGTTAAATTAGTCATCACAGATGAATTTTTTTTTTTTTTTTTTTTTTTTTTATATCAGTGATGTTTTTATGTTTATTTATTTGTTACAATTATTGCAAATTTATTTGTTACAATTATGACAAATAACTTATTTTAAACAAACAATTTAATTTCTTTATATTATTTGTATATGTTTATATATAACTTTTTTATATGTATTTTATATATAATATATGGATATATAATTTACTAATATAGTTTGTGTCAGAGCGCAAAAATTTAGCTTATTGTTCAGAAAACTAAAAACAAAGAACAGGTGCAAACGCAACTTTTGGCGAAGAAAAAGAAGAAAAAAAAAAAAAAAAAACTTTTTATAAACTCTGTAAAAAAAAAAAAAAAAAAAAAAATTAAGCGAACTGAAGCATAAAAAAAAAATCTCAGTTATAACTATTTTTATAATAGTAATATATAAATAAAGATATATATAATAAAATATAAGTATAGGTATAAAATATAAGAATTATATTTAATTTAGGTATGCGACAACAAAAAACTGTATTATAGACACGAATAGTTAATATATTACTATAATTTTAAGTAGAAAAGTAATTAATAAGCTAATTAGATAAAGCAATAAGTAGAAAAAGAAGTAGTGGTTAGAAAAAGTTAGAAAAATAAGTAAAAAAGAAAGATAAAGAATACGGAAAAAAAAAAAAAAAAAAAAAAAAAAATTTAAAATTCCTGAAAACTTACGCTCAAACAAAAACACGAATTGCCCCTTGCGCAGGGGCCATGCTAATCTTCTCTGTATCGTTCCAATTTTAATATATGTGTTGCCGAAGCAAACACGTCACTAGTGAGTGGTCAGTTTTTATATAACTCTGCAAGTCTATAACAGTTTATTGCTTGTGGTGTGATAATATAGAAGAATAAATTAATTATAAAAATATTGTCATTTTAAATAATATTTGATTTTATTACTTTTTTATATTTAGAAAACTATATAAATTAATATTATGCGCTTATTTTTTTCTCAATCTGAAATATAACTTTTTTTTTTAAATTTCAACTTTTTAAAAAACTTTTTTTATGTTTTAACAGTCAATTTAAATAAAGGAAGGTTTTATTTAATACTATATTTTAAAAAAATATATATATTTTTAAATATAACTTTAAATATTTTCTGATGAGTCTTTATAGATGAAACATAGTACAAAATGAAAAAAATTTGTGATAATATTCTACAAATTTAATTTTATCTCTGTTCATTATATCGGCTCAAAGGCTTAAGCGAAAAAAAAAGAGATGTTTTCATTTGATTAAGATTTTTTTTTTGTTAAAAGCCGGATAAGAGTTCTAATGAGCTGGATAAGAGTTCTAATGAGCTGACATTTAGTCAGTGACGTAGAAAGTTATTTAAATGTTTAAAATAACCAACTTAAAAAAAAAAGGAATATTCCAAATTTTTTACGTTCATATATATATGACGAAAAGATTCTTCACAAAAAAAAATTACTGTGATAGGAGAATGGGAACAAGTACCTTCAAAGTCTTGAGCTGTTAAAATTTTACCCTTTTTGGCCAGACGACTTTGATACATTGTATACTGACTCACCTTCCTGTATTGCAGTCATTAATTGACTGTAATTGAATAAACCAATAGTCTTGCATTGATATTTTATTTCAGACATGATAAGTTTTTCAGTCTTATTATTTTATCTAAAATATTATAAAATTAACTTTAATTATATAAAATATAAAATTTTATCATAATGTAAAATATGATAATAAAATAGATAAAATAAGGAACACAAAAATAAAATATAAAATATTTCGAAGGGACTAAAAGTCTTACGCCATTCAGAAAAAACACATTTAAACTATGATCTTAATGTAAATAGTTCAGTAGCATTAAATGAAACTATTAAATGCAAAAAAATGTATAATACTTTATTTAAAAGTAAAAGTGAACATAAAAGTAAAAGTGAACATAAAAGTAAAAGTGAACATAAAAGTAAAAGTGAACATAAAAGTAAAAGTGAACATAAAAGTAAAAGTGAACATAAAAGTAAAAGTGAACATAAAAGTAAAAGTGAACATAAAAGTAAAAGTGAACATAAAAGTAAAAGTGAACATAAAAGTAAAAGTGAACATAAAAGTAAAAGTGAACATAAAAGTAAAAGTGAGCATAAAAGTAAAAGTGAACATAAAAGTAAAAGTGAGCATAAAAGTAAAAGTGAACATAAAAGTAAAAGTGAACATAAAAGTAAAAGTGAACATAAAACATAAAAGTGAACATAAAACATAAAAGCAAAAGTGAACATAAATAAATGTCCAGCTTATGATTTTGCAACAAAATTTTACAATGTTCGTAGGATTTTACATATTTTGTAGGATTTTACATATTTTGTATGTTTTATATATATCCATTTTACCCCAACTATCCATATTACCCCAACCTACCTATTCGGTACCCAAGTAGAGTGTTCTTTACCTAGTTAAGAATTACTAGATAAGTGATCCGTACCAATTGGATAGGAATCACGGTGCAGTTATGCGTACCGGTTAAGTACTTCTTGCCTCCTACACTTGTTTCTAAATTTTTTGATGCAAAAAGTCTTGTGTTTGCCAATTTAGCTATGAAAAGTCTGTTTTTTTACAAGCAATATTTTATTATTATTAAGTTTTTTAAAGTAAAATTGAGAAAAAGTCTCAAATACTTTTATATATCCAATACCGCAATACAGGTATTTAGCCGACCCTTGATGTTTCGGTACTTATAAAAGGCCAAAAAATACTAGCCTTTGCTGTATCGACACTCCCTGAATATACTATTGTACATCGTACAAATGTAGAAAAAGTTGGCAAAGAAGGAGCATCTTCAGTATTATTATAACAAATTAAGAAATGTATGTAAACTTTGTCATTTAAAATAAAGTTAAAAACATACAATCTTTCTCATAAAGCTTAATATACGCTTAAAAACCAATATAAGAAGACTCTACAAATGTAGTTAGTCAAGTTTATTCGGCAGAATTTTTTTTTACCCAAACAATACTCAAACAGCTTGGCCTACTCAGAAAACAAAGTTACAGGGAGCATATATGAATGGACTGTCAGAGTTTGGTGTGAAGTGATTGAAAAATTTTGGTTTCAACGCTTTTTTTAATGACAACTTAACGTTTTAAGATTGGCCCAAGTCCAACAGACCGGTGAAATAAGATTTCTGGCGTTTAAACTTGAAGTATATTGTATTATAGAATACTACTTGCACAAATTGAGCAATATTTTTTTTCATGGGCTACATTTTTTTTTCTGTTTTGTTTTAACACTGCACGTTTAACTGGATAGACTTTGTTATTGTCGGATATAAGAAGTGGTTACTCTACGTAAGCTAAATCAATGCCACTAACCGGCACATCCACTAAATCTAATTACGAAAGCTGAAAGCCTAGAAATAAAACCAAAAACTTCAAACGCCATTACTTTTAATGCTAATACGGAAACTTTATAGGTGATTTTTATGGTAATTTTAACTCAAACTGTATGATATAAAAAACCAAAATAAAGGAACAAACATTTTTGTATATTGTCTTAATATATATATATATATATATATATATATATATATATATATATATATATATATATATATATATATATATATATATATATATATATATATATATATACATATATATATATATATATATTTGTAAAGGGGCAAATGAAATAAATTGAAGGTTATATTAATTGTGAGAAAACAGCATTTAGAGAACTTGTATTTTTTAAAAATAAACAATGGTATGGATAAAGTTGAATTATTTTTTACATTCCTAGAATGGTTATTTCACTAATGATTGAACATTGTCTTTTTTTTTCCCGAGCAATTGTTGCAAAGTGATTAGAGTGCTTGCTTTCAATCAATTTTTACCTAAAATTTTGAACATGAAAATATACTTAAGAGATTTTTTCAGTTTATAGAGATTTACTATATATACAGAAAAGAAGAGAAGTTTATTAAAAGTACAAGTATTAAAAATAAACAATGGTATGGATAAAGTTGAATTATATTTAATCCTAGAATGGTTTTTTTCACGAATGATTGAACATTGTCTGTTTTTCGTGTACATATTTTTTTTTTTTTCAAAAAAAATATATATGTACACGAAGGAAGAGAAGTTTATTGAGAGTTACTATATATACAAAAAGGAAGAGGAGTTTAAAATGTCTTTTTAAGAAAGTTTACCTATCAATAATACATATTCTCCGCACCCGTAGAGTGGAGATTTTCTAGATTTGTACATATTATAACAATAACTCTAAAAATTTTTTTTTGCATTCTTATATTAAATTTGTTGGTAGAATTAAAATTTGCTTAACAAATGCTTTGGCGTTTTGAAGTGGTTACCACATAAAATTTACAATACACTATTTCATTGGGGTTGTTTAAGTTGAAAAAATACTGCACAAAACTAACAGATTTTAAAAAAACACCAATAAATGTACTTGTAACAGATTGTAACTAACAGATTTTAATAAATGTACTTGTAAGCTCTGTATAATACTTCCTTAAAAGAAATTTTTAAAAAATATTAGATTAAGACAGTTTTGAGTACAAAGTTATGGATATTGAAAATCTAATAATATTTTGGCTGTAGATAATTGTAATAAATTTGAGGGTTGACAACAAAATATATATATAAAAAAAAAAAAAAAAAACATTTTTTATATAAAATACATTACAGCCAAGTTTTACTTGTTTTAGCGGAGAAACCTTTTTCATGAAATGAAGAGTAAGAGATAAAAGAGCAAGATTTCTTAAGCAGTGAAGATGTCGGTAGTGAATGTGCAGACGTCAAGGCCAATCTTTTTATTGTCATTAACTTTCTCCACATGGTCACTGATAAATTTATGTAACTTTTGACACAAGAAACTGATTTGGATATAACATGTATTTATTAACTTAATTGCTTATTTTATTTTAATTTTAGTTCTTTTTTTCTTTCTATATTTTTAACATCATAATATTTTCACAAAAACTCCATTCGATGACATAATAATAGAGAATAAGATTAAACTACAATAAAGCAATTAAAAAAAACGAAGAAGTGCCATCAAAATTAGCAAAGTATGCTCTTTCCAGAACGAGAAGAATGTAACTATGAAAAACATGATTAAAATATTAATTTACAAAGGTGGATGTTTGCCAAGTTAAAAATAACAATTTAAGATTTTTAAAAAAAAAAAGAAAAAAAAAAGAAAAAGCTTCCGCGTATGAAAATTCCTTTTCTAGAAAAAAAGTAAATGAAATATACTAAGCAAGTCCTTGTATAGAGATCGTTTCTTTAGTTAAGTGCAAACAATGCTATTCTTTACTTCAGCTAAGGTCAACATGTACTTTACAAAGGCCATCCATTAAGAGTACATCGGTGACAGCTAGTCGCCAACGGAATAACATAAATAAGATTTGGAATAGCGCATGGCTATTCCAAATCTTATTTATATTATTCCGGATGTTATAATGGATGACCGAAATCAGCAAAGAACAAATGTTAACAACAGTCAGTTTCCGGTCCGGTATTTAACTTTTTGAGAGTATAAACTAAAAATTATTTACCACATCTGAAACTAATTATTTGCAACTTCGCTATTTTATTACTTTATCTTAAAAGACAACTTGTTACATATAAATAATTTAAACTGAAATATTAGCATTAAAAAACAACATCAAATAAATTACTGATATATATTTATATATATATAAATCTAAGAAATATTGTGTTCTTACATTTAAAGTGATTAACCAAATTATAAAACTTCTTAAAGTTGAACAACTTTATACTTAACATTTTTATAAACAATGTTTAAAAAAATATGTACAAACTACAAGTTGCTAAAGAAAAACATTGAATACAGAAATCAACGACAATGACGACAATTAAATGACCGGTTAAAATATTTTGTGCACATTAATTTCAAAACGAAAGTTATTCATACATTTGGTACCCATAACATTTATATAGCCTGTTGACACCAATTATATCTCTAGGAGACCACATTTGTGCTCGGAATTCTCTATTTGGATCATTTAACCACGTAATTGTTGGTTTTGATGGATCTAATGCAAATGCATATCTAAAAAAAACAAGTTCTAAGTAAAATAAAACTTCTAAAAAACACAAGTTCTAAGTAAAAAAACAATCTCTAAGTAAAATCGAGGTTAAAACTTAATGTATATATATATATATATATATATATATATATATATATATATATATATATATATATATATATATATATATATATATATATATATATATATATATATATATATATATATATATATATATTAGGGTGGCTCTTAAAACAACTTTTTTGAGAAAAACTTGCTCTCACCCCCTAAATGTGTTCTAATACAAAAACACTAGGTTTACATTTTTTTTGAATAAAAAAAAATTTAAGGGGTCCCTTGGGGGTAAACAGATTCTATCTGTTGACCAGCCTCACACCTCTTCTTTATCTATTAGGCTTGCACAGATGTATTTTTGATATATTGTTTCCAGTTTAGGATGTTGATGCTGGATCTTCTTGACTCAATGCATGGGTTTTGCCTGTGTTTCTGTTTTTATGACAAGGCAACTCGCTCTAATATCTCCTAATGAGGGTACACCTCTAAAACTCAGTTTTATGGTTCTGAGGCCGGCTGGTAGTCAGGTTTCCCGAACTCTGGGGTAGCTCTCAGAGAGGCTGATTCCATCAACAGCTGAAAAATATTAAAGTATTAACAGTGTCATGTTGCGCATGGATGGTATCCCTATTTGTACTTTAGGTGTGCATTGCCAAGGCTACATTTGAAGCCCTTTGTAACAGCTTAGGGTTTATTAATAGTAATGAGGCAATTGCTTGGGCTATTAAACAGTGTATTGAGTACTATCTATGCTTTGAGTCAAGTTCTTTAACAATTTTAAAAATGAATACAGTATCCAAAACAATAAAAAACAAAAAACAATTGTCATCACAAAGTTCTCTAAACTCACTAATATTTGTGGTCTTAGAAGTAACTTTTCTTCTATTGAGTCTTATCGCTTGAAAAGTTTACCAAACCTACTTGCTCTTTGTGAGACTAATTTAAGTTCAGCTATCTCATCTTGTGGTCTTAGTGTTGATGGCTATCTTCCTTTAATTCGTAAAGACTCCAATAGTCACATGCTTGGCTTGGGCATTTACATTCAAAGAATTCACCCATATCATACTCTTGTGTCAGTGACTCTGCAGGCATTAAAGCCCACAACTTTTGCTTTTCTCAATCTTTAACTTAAACAGTCAACTTGCTTTCCAGACAACCCGAATCATTTACTTTCTCTATTCGACTTATGTCTTGATCCTAGTCAGTGCTCAGTTCCTCCACATTCAAATTCTCTTGTAACTTCTGGAGTATCTTTAATAGTATTAATAATAAGGTCAAATCTGAAAGTCCTCTCTTGTATGGTTCAGAATTTGTCACTTCACCTAAAGACAAAGATGAATTATTTGCTAAGAACTTTTCATTAATATCATCTCTTAATTCCGCTAGTTGTGTTCTACCTGATATACTGTCAAACAGATTGATCCATTGCTTGACATTCACATCACTCCAGCTTCTGTATCTAAAGTGAGTTCCTGCTTAGACTCTTCTACAGCTTGTGGCCCGATACAACATACCTGTTATAGTCTTGCAGAAGTGTTGTCCGGATCTGTCACCTATACTTTCAAAACTATTCGACAAGTGCTTATCAGAGTCTTGTTTTCCAGGGATAACAGATGCTGTTTACCAGCATCTGTTACCCCTGTTTTCAAATATTCTGGAGAACGATCTGATTTGTCTAACTAACGTACCATTAGTCTTCTTCATTTATCATAAGCAAGGATTTTGAATCTTTAATTAACAAATACTTAATCCCTTATCTTGAATCTAATAATTTACTTTCTGATCATCAATATGGATTTCGATCTTCTCATTCTACAGCTGATTTGCTAACAGTAATAACCGATAGGTTTTATTGTGCATTAGATAAAGGTGGAGAGGTTAAAGCAATCACTCTTAACATTTCTAAAGCTTTTGATAAAGTTTGGTATGCTGGTAAGTTTTTTCTCCATAAGTTTTTTATCTTACGGTGTATCTGGTAACGTCTTTAAGATTATTGAATCTTTCTTTTCCAATCGTAGTTAAAATTGTCTTTGATGGACAACACTCTTCTCCTTATTCTGTAACCTCAGGGGTTCCTCTAGGTTCAATCTTTGGCCCTATACTCTTTTTAATTTACTTTAACCATCTTTCAGATATTCTCACACATAAGGTGGAATTGTTTGCTGATGATAATACCATTTATTCTTGTCATAATAAGAAGCCAACACTCTCTGATTGCTTGCAGGGGGCATTTGAGCTAGAAAAGGATCTCACTTCTGCAACAGCATGGGGCTCACAATGGCTGGTGAACTTTAATTTAGAGAAAACTCAATTTTTTTTAGCCAATCAATATTGCAATAATAAAGACCTTACTATATTTATGAACGGTAATGTACTCGATGAGTCATCTACCCCTAATCTTCTAGTATTAACTCTTATTTCGGATCTTTCTTGGAAACCATATATTAAATCTGTTGCAAAATTAGCAACTGCTAAAGCTCTTTATCGAGCTCAGCACTTTCTTACTTCGGATTTTATTCTTCATCTCTATAAATTTCAAATCTGGCCTTGTATGGAATACTGTTGCCATAGCTGGGGGGGGGGGGGGGGGTTCTTCTAATGATGCCCTTTCTCTTTTAGACAAGGTGCAAAAACGCATTGTAAACATAGTTGGAGCTGCTCTTGCAGCCAGCTTTCAACTATTATCACATCGTTGTAACGTTGCTTCTCTTTCTCTTTTCTACAAATTCTATAATGGGAACTGCTCTAAAGAGCTAGCGTCTCTTGTGTCATCTACTAAAATTCATTCTCATTTTACTTGTCATTCAATTAAGTCTCATCCTTTTTCTGTGACTATTCCCAAATGCTCTAAAAACTCTTATTTGTCTATTTTTTTTCCTCAAACATCATTTCTTTAGAATTCGCGTCCTTCATCTTGCTTTCATATAATTTGCAATCTTTTAAGTCGTCTGTCCACCGTAATCTTGCTCTACAATCTTTATCTTTTCTTTTCCAGTAACTTATTATAAAATTTTAACTAGTGGTTGCTTGCAGCCTTGTTGTAAGCAAAGATGTTTAAAAAAAAAAAAAATTTTAATATATTATTGTTAAATAATTTTTGTGTTGTTTTTTAATTTTTCCAATTAATTTTAATGCTATTAAATTAAATTATTTAAATACACTTTTATTAACAATACTCAATGACTAGAAATAAATGTTACAGTCAAACATTTGATAAAGTTAATGTTAATCTCTAAGAGCCTTGATTTTCACACAACCAAATTTTATGTAGCGTGTTCCAGAACCAAGACATTTTATAATTTGTTGTATAACTTTGATAAAAATGCACTTCAAGGTATGTCATTGAATGTATATTACATTTTTAAAATGTGATGTTTGCAATGGTTTTTTATAAGTGTTAATATGTCTCATGATATGGTAATCGCTTATAATGTGTTATTTATTATATGTTAATGTTAATATGTGTTATATAAAGTTATAGATTTATATTTTTTAAATGTTTATTAATATTTTTATAAGTATGTGCTGTAGTAAAGATAATAAAGTTTAATAAATATTTCCATAATATAAATATTATTGCCAAAATTTTAATAATATGGGAGAGAAAAAGATTTTTCAGCTTAATTTTAAAAAGAAGCAAAGAAGTAGGTAGATCTAAATCGAAATTTAAAACAATTTTATTCAAAAAAAATTGTGTGCACAATAATCAATGCAAAATTGGTTAAATTTTGTTTGACAAAAAGGCTCATATAGAAGATTATTATTTCTTAAAGAGTATTAATTGGTAGGTTTCAAGGTAATTACATTGTTAAAAACGGCAGGAAAAAGATTGTTTTTACATATATGTATATATAAAGCATAAAATATTAAAAATTTAAAGTTCAAAAATATTGAGTATTCTCATTTCAGAAAAAAATTGTTCAGAGTGAGAAAAACGATCAGCAAAATTAATTATACGTATTGCATCACATGCATGTTTCTGATGGCAATAAAGAGATTGTAACTTACTTTTTTCAGTGCTTGCCCAAGCAATATTTGTATAATTCATATAGCTATGAATAAATGCATAATAAAGTTAGGATAAAACTTTTTTATTTATATAGATTCTGACCTTATAAAGAATTCCAATATTTTTGGAAACTTTAGTACCAACATAATCAATATGTTGCTTCCATGCGATGGATGGAACCATGGAACAACAAAAACCGCTTATCTTTATTACCAACAATAGATAATAAAATTAGATTTCAGATGGTTTTAACATTTTAATAAGGGATAGTGCCACTACAGGAACTTCAATACTAAAGAAGATAAATAGCTGAAAGTATCGTTTGTTGCTTAGGGTTTTCAATTAAAAAAAACTATGAATCAAGGTGCCTGTATCGTAGTCTTTAGGTGTGATTGACCCCCATTTTTTACTAGTTTCTCTTTATTTCATGCCAATTTTATTATAAAATTTAGCAAGATCTATATTTGCTATGTAAAACGACCTTTTTTAAGGCAATAGGGGTGCAGCAAATAAGCTATTTTCTGAAATTCTTCTGTCGGAACCCCCTCCCCTAATAAATATCACAGTGCAAACCTGATCATAATTGATTGCAATAAAGAAACAGAAAATATGTCATAATATGTCAAATTAAGTTAACAGAAAAGAATTCAGACTTTAATAAAGTCGGTTAAAGTAAATCAATTGAAAATATTTTGGACATATTTTATGTTGGGAGAAAATATGTCTGGATATAATATATCCGGACATATTTTCTGCCAGCATAAAGTATACGTCTGGCAAATATTTTATATGATGGCATATTATGCCAACATATCTGCCAGACATATTATGCCATAACAACACTGATAAAAATAGTTTAAAGCATTGATTTATAAAAATACCGCTAAAAGCATCATTATACTTTAATGTCAGTATAAGCAGTGTCAATGTCAAACTTTA